CCTGGGGACTCTTCGCCCTAATTTTGAACCACAACCCAGAGGGATTTCCAGTCAAAGTGTGGCTCCAGCCCTCCCCTCCCCTCCCCTCCCCTCCCCTCCTCTCCCCCTTATCAACTAATCAAGTAGTCAATAGAAAAACCATTGACTACTCAATAAGCGGATTATCTGCAATTTAACATCTCTACAGTCTGCAGAAAAGAAGAATGAGGGGGGATTTGATAGCAACCTTCGACTTACTGAAGGGAGGTTCCAAAGAGGATGGAGAAAGGCTGTTCTCAGTAGTGAATAAGGAGCAATGGTCTCAAGTTACAGTGGGGGAGGTCTAGGTTGGATATTAGGAAAAACTATTTCACTAGGAGGGTGGTGAAGCACTGGAATGGGTTACCTAAGGAGGTGGTGGAATCTCTGTCCCGAGAGGTTTTTAAGTTGCGGCTTGACAAAGCCCTGGCTGGGTTGATTTAGTTAGGATTGGTCCTGCCTTGGGCTGGGGGCTGGACTTGATGACCTCCTGAGGTCTCTTTCAGCTCTATGATTCTATGATACATGCCATCTGCTGCTAGAATCCATCAATTTTGTACTTTTCCACCAAGGAGGGGGGAATTGAGCAAAGTCTTTCTGCCTTGTGGAAATTCTATATTAGACATGGAAAACAAATAATGAATGTTTTCAGATGGCTTAACAGACTGCTTCCCAATCCATGAGGATACATGAAAACACATAAAAACCAAAAAAAATCTAACAGAGGTGTGGAGAGGACCTGCTGGACTCAGGTTAAAAAGAATAGCTCTGGCCTGAGAAGAACTTTACCTGAAATAAGAACTAAGGTACGAAATTATGATTTGTAACAACTTTTCTTAGCGTATTAGACTTAGCTGACGTATTTTGTTTTATTTTAGATTGGTAATTTACTTTGCTCTGTCTGTTATTACTTGCAACTGCTTAAATCCTACTTTTTATACTTAATACAATTTGTGCAAGAGCACTGATGTTCTAATGTAAGAATTCAGTGCTTCTTGCGCAAATACTTTGACGCTCCCGCTCATGGATAAGCCCTCTTGTGCAAGAATATTTGAGCAAGAGGGCAAGTGTAGACAGGCACCTTAATTTTTTAGGCAAGAAAGGCCGATGGCTAAAATGGGCCTGGAGCTCGATGGAGAAGTACCCCTTGTGGTTTATGAAATGGGCCACTCGATGCTCCGGAGCACGGACAGGGATGTGGGTTGCATCCAAGGCTTCCCTGTAGTTGGGGAACCCTAGGGCAGCGAAGCCGGCCACCATAGCCTCCACGTCCCGCAGGCGGATGACTTGCTGGAGCAGGACGTCGTTGATGGCATTGTTACCA